CCCCAGGTGACCCCGATGTGCGGATTTAGATATCCACACGCAGGGGGCTCCTTCGCTATTAGATATATAGATGGCTCTCTTGAAGTATTTGAAGGGCTGTCACTTAGAGGAGGGCAGAGAGCTGTTCCTGTTGGCAGCAGAGGAGAGTACTCGCAATATTGGGTTTAAATGAAGGGTGGGAAGGTACCGGCTGGATTTTAGGAAAAACTGTTTTACAGGAAGAGTTGTGCAACAGTGGAATCAGCTGCCTCGGGAGGTGGTGAGCTCCCCCCTCCTCCCTGGCAGTCTTTAAGCAGCGGCTGGACAAACACTTGTCAGGGATGCTCTAGGCTGATCCCGCATTGAGCAGGAGGGTTGGACTAGGTGGCCCCTGTATGGTCCCTTCCAACTCTGTGATTCTGTGCTACCTTGGCCTCCTTGGGGGAGGGCTGAAAATAGAATAAAGAGAGTGGAAATGGATGGATTCTTCAGCTCGCTGTGGAAGAAGTTCCATCACACAGGAGCTTCGGAGTGACAGCGGCAGGTTTTGAAACCAGGATTTCCCCAAAGGAAGCTCACCCTTCAGCCAAGAATACTCAAAATGCTTCTGAGCCCCAGAAACCCAGCCTGAAGCAGCAGCCAAAAACACACACGCCCCCTTTCCGGCCCTTTTGCTGCTGCCAGATTTCCGAATGACAGCTTTGGTGCCGGCCGGTGGAAAGGAAGGCCGCTTCTGGGAAGGGGGTGGTTGTTTTCCTTTGAGGGAATTTTTTTTTTAAACGAAGACCAAAAGAACTTTCATCAAGTTTGTTTGGTTGTGTTCCAGAAAGAAATAGGATTTAAAACCTCATTTGCACATTTCCCCCCCAATTTTGTTGAAGGAAACCTGGCCCGTCTTAGCCTGCCATCACTGTCAGGTGCTCGGAGCGATTCCAGAATTACAATCCCAGCAGATGCTCCAACGGGGAAAGCCCTCGAGAGCATGTGCAGAACATTCGGCTTGGGGTGAGCAGGGTCTGCAGACACGACGGAATCCACATACAGGAGAGCGAAGTATTCTAGGTACAGGCCAAGTCACAGGAACAGTGACAGGACTGAACGAGATTGTTGTGGCCCAGAAACTTCATTCTGAAAATTGACTTTTTCGGCCTCCCAAAAATGTTCTCCAAAGGTCCACCCAAAACAGTACCATTTCCCACAGTTTCACCACCGCTTTTTTCCTCTGTCAAATTCTGCTTTGATACAATTTTTAGCACGTTCTCGCTCTGTGATATGATGTGATGATCACTAAGTCAGTTCAGAGTGTGAGCAAAGTTTTCTGCTCGTGCTCGGAATGGAAGAATGCGTTTGTCCCATTTCATATGGCGCCCTAAATTCTTGCCAAAACAAGCACTTCACAATGACTTGTGTGTGCGTGCATAAAACCACTCTCCTCCTGGTTTCTGCACAGCTTGAATGAGGTGCGCAAAAATACAGACAGAGGCCTGACCTGGATAGCCCAGGCAAGCCCATCTCCTCAGGTCTCAGAAGCTAAGCAGGACCAACCCTGGCGAGTACTTGGAAGGCAGACCTCCAAAGAATACCAGGGCCAGGAGGCAGAGGCAGGCAATCAAGCCACCTCCCTGAAACGTCCAAGCCCCACTAGGGGTTGCCAGAAGTCAACCATGACTTCCAGGCACACACGCACACACACACAGAGTACTCACAAAAAATACAGATAGTATTTTGCTTTTGTTTGTTTTTTATTCCCCCAGAGGGAATTTTTTAATTATTTTTATATCTCTACAAATACTACAAAGAAAAAAGGATATAGGGAACTACACATACAGGGACAAAGTAAAGAAACCCACTACTACCTAAAAACCCAAGCGAGGAGATCTCCAACAAGCTTAGTTACAATAAGTCATTGCTTCAGTTTCATTTCTAGAAACTGAGTCAAACATACTCATTTTTCTCTCTGCTGATTTTACATTTAAATTAAGGTGCCTGTAAACCACCCCCCGTTCATCTCTAACATATTGTTGAATTCAACGCACAATTCAGAGTCCTTCAGCCTTTACTTCTTTTCCCCCTTTCTCAGCTTATAAGGACTTCTTGGAGCTGCTGCTCCCTGCTCAAAGGCATATTAAGTGCTTACCTGCTGGTTCTTCTGTGCTGGTGACAACAGATGTAGGGTTGATGGCGGGAATCTCTGAAAAAGAAAAGGTAAAGTTTCTTAAGGAAAAATACTAAATACCTGGACGCTCTGCTCCTCCCCCGCCCTTCCACTGGTGGCAGACAGAAAAAACCAAAGCAATGGCCCCTGCGAACTGCCATGCCCTCTGCGAACTATACACACAGTCAGACTCCCAAGTGGCAAATGAATGAGCATGGGTCGCTGCCTATGCATCGTCTCCAATGAAAACAAATGAGGGTCTGTAGCTAAATGGAAGATCCCTACTTTGTGGCTTTTGGAAAGATGTCAGAATCAGAGTTGTGTAAAATTCACCATGTGAAAAAGATGAAGGGCAAGCAAATATCGTACAGCTGTTTCTCTGTGATTTGAGATTCTGGAGCACATTATCTGTGGGTACCGCTCCTCTCGAAATGGGGAAATTGAGTAGTGTTTCTCCTTCATCTTTTTGTTGTAATGCTTGTGCTCCATCACTAGGTGATGCTATAGTGCTGTTTGCTACAGCATCAAATGCGGCATACACAGAGAGAGCAATCAGTGATATACTGACACCTAGTGAACACTGAGAGCACAGCAGGAAACAAGCAGGCACCCATTGAGTAATGAGAATTTTCCCCAATACCCTCTTCTTCAGGCGCCAGTGATGACTTCTACAGTTCTGTGACTTTTCTTTTCTTGCGCAAACAAGCAACCACATAGGAGAGTACAAAATAATGGTGACCAGGGCTATTTTTGGGCAGGAACGCACAGGAACGGAGTTCCTGTTGGCTCCTGAGTTGGCCACGCCCAGCAGGAACTCATTAGCATAATAGGCCATACCCAACAGCAGAAACGCATTAGGATTGGCTACATTAGGGATGTGTGGCCTAACATGCAAAGGAGTTCCTGCTCCAAAAAAAGCCCTGGGTTTTGACAATAAACAAAGTAAACAGAATAAGAAGCAAAAGGTGGGTGTGGCTGGATGAGCACACTTCTGGTAACATGGGGGTGCGGCCTAATGTGCTAATGAGATGTGCTGTCAGGGGTGTGGCCTAATAGGCTAATGAGTTCCTGCTGTTGGGTGTGGCCTATTATGCTAATGAGTTCCTGCTGGGCTTTTTCTACAAAAAGAGCCCTGAGGTGACCCACAAAGAAACTAAAACAATGGTGGAAACTATAGGAGAGGCATTTTCAACCACTGGGGTTCAGTATGAATGGTCAAAGACCCATGTAGAATATGTTTAGAGTAACCACAGCCAGGCAGTCCTCTGAACATGTAAAGTCTGCCTGAATATTAGTTGAACGTCAAAATGATCGAGGAGATGGAGTTCCTCTCATACCAGACCTTTAAAAAAAAAAAACAACCCGCAGAATTATGACCAAAGTGTCTGGGGAAGAGGACAGAAATTTAGAAGATTATGAAAGAATGGAATGGAAAAGGAGACAGTTTGAAAACGCCTGTAAAGATGACGAGTCTGCTGCAGTGGTTAGAGGGCAGAAGCAGGACCAAGGAGGCCCAAGTTCAGATCCCCCCTCTGCCCAGGAAGCTTCAGCCAGTCACTCTTCCTCTGCCTAACCTACCTCGCAGGGCTGTTGTGAGGATAAAATAGAGGACAGAAGAATGGTGCATGCCGTGCTCCATGCAGGAAAGGCTTGATAAAAAATGTGATCCACATATCGAAGTTACGTAAGTAGAGGGACCGCAGTGCAGGGCTTGGAAGGGGCACCCTTCAAACGCTATTCCCTGCCTGGGACTGTGTCCAAGAGCAAGAGTGAGCTTTCTTAGGTCGGCATGTTGATTTTTTAAAGTTAATATGTCACATGTATTTTAAGCTATGTTCTTATATATCGTGTTATATATTTGTTAAGTTATTATACCACAGACTTTTTACTTATCCATATATATTCTGATAAAGGAATGTCCTCAGTATCTGTAAAATTGCCCTTACATTATGTTTTTGGTCATTATATTCCCTATGCATTTTTCCCTATTCCTTTTTTCTTTCCGTATTCCTTAGGGCACCAAACGGACCCGCCCCCCCGCCAAAGCCCCCTGCCAAAAGCCCTGCATCTCCCTGACCACTGCCACCTCTTTCTCCCCAAGTCCAACAAGCTCGGCGACGGCCATCCGGTCTGGGAGATGCAGAGCTTTTGGCAGGGGTGGGGCCGGGTGCAGTTTGGCGCCCTAGGGCGAGCCAGTCACTGGCCCCAGGGGTCGTTTCATAGAAAAAGAGCTAAGGGAACTCATTAGCATAACTCATTAGCATATGCCACACCCCCTGACATCACCGGAAGTGTGTCATAAGGCCACACACCCTGCCCGAGGCAGGGAGGAAGCAGGTGTGTGCCAGGCCAAGAGCACATGCACATGCCAGCGGTGGCCGCTGGAAGCCCGTGGGTGGGCTGGAGAAGGCCGAGAAGGACCTTAGGGGGTGGGGGGGGCCCGCCTGCACCTGCTGGAGCCTACCCGGGCTTGGCCCGCTGCCTGCGCCGTTGACTGCGCTGCCCGCGGCTGGGCCCACCTGCCCACCTGGGCCTGGCCCCAGCTCACCACCGCCCTGTGAGTAGTCCCCGCGTGCTGCCGCTGCGGCGCACTTTTACTCAGCACCAAGCAGGGCACACACACACCCCGGCCTAGTTTGCCAGTCCCTCCAAGCGCTGCCACCGCCACCCCCGGGGATGCCCCAAAGAAAAGCTCCCGCCGGCCCTGCATTCAGCCTCGCTTCGAGGCAGGGTTGATTGCCGCCTCCCCCCCTCCAGGCTAGCTGGAAAGTTTGTGCCGGGGAGAAAACTTAACCGGAGGAGGAGACTTGTTGGGCGGGCAGTGCTTGCCCCGGTTGGGTGGCTCTTGTCCCCCCCCCCCACGGGTCTACTCCGGGAGGGGAGCCGTGTCCCAGAAGAGTCAGATTCGAATCCGGTACCCCCTTAGAGACCAACAAAGCTAGCTTGTTGCACCTGGCGCCCCCCCTCCCGGGTGTGTTTCTGAGAGGTCTGCAGGGCCCACCGGGAGGTTGGCATCTGCGCTGGGGCGCCACAAGCTAGCCTCGCCTAGGGTGCAGAAACACCTTGGGCCGGCCCTGTCAGTGGCTCAAGCTGCAACATGAACGTCTGAAGAACCTCTCCCCACCCCCCCTTACCTGGCTGTGTTTGCTACGATTAAGGTAACAGGGCAGAAGTGGCCGTTTCCACTGGGGGATCATGAGGGAGTGGGAGGGGGAGGAAGCAGATGGATTTGCACACCCAGTGGAGTTCCCAAGGATGTCATCAGCTGGGATCTAAGCCCCTTAGTTATTTATTTCTTGGATTTATATCCCGCCTGCCCTGCAAGCGGGCTCAGGGTGGGGAACGAGAAGAGAATTTGTAGAACCATTAAAACAAATGATCACACTGAATGGCTTAAAACCATTTAAAAGATGGCAAATCATATATAAATGTATAAGGTTCCAGCAGTGCTAAACAGATGACAGAAACGAGAATCACAACAGAAATGATGGTAAGGTCTCTTTACACGGGCCAAGGTAATGGGGCAGTTTTCAGCAAGGGAGACCAGATGACTGGGCGTCCATCGCCTCAGTCAAGAAGAAGACCCCCCTCCCCATCCCTCTCCCTTCTCTCTCCACCCTTACCTGGCTGTGTAAGGTAGCAGCACAGAAGTAGGGAGACAGAAGGGGCTGTTTCCATTAAGGGCAGGTGGGGGAACTGGGGCGAGACAGATCTGGACACCTTGCATTGCTCCCAGCGATGTCATCGGCAGCACCAGGGCTATTTTTGGGCAGGAACGCACAGGAACGGAGTTCTGACTGGCTCCCGAGTTGGCCACGCCCAGCAGGAACTCATTAGCATAATAGGCCACACCCAAAAGCAGAAACTCATTAGGATTGGCTACATTAGGGGTGTGTGGCCTAACATGCAAAGGAGTTCCTGCTACCAAAAAAGGCCCTGGGTTTTGACAACAAACAAGGTCAACAGAATAACAAGCAAAAGGTGGGTGTGGCTGGATGACCACACTTCTGGTAACGTGGGGTGTGGCCTAATATGCTAATGAGCTATGCTGTCTGGGGTGTGGCTGGATATGCTAATGAGTTTCTGTTGTTGGGTGTGGCCTATTATGCTAATGAGTTCCTGCTGGGGGTTTTCTACCAAAAAAGCCCTGGGCAGCACCGCAGGGCTTGTGGAGTTTAGAACTAAGTTTTAAGAATAAACCAGCTACTTTCCAACTTGGGGTGGTGGGGATATCTGCCAAGTTTACAGTGCCAAGTTCCAAGGGTAGCTTGCTATCAACAGAGCTTCTTGTAAAACCCTCCATCTGGCAGCCGAACTGCGACAGTTGTCCCCTCCGAGAAGCATACCACAGGAAAAGGCATGCAGAGAATTTCAAAACAGCAGCCGGCCGTTACTCACTGATGCACGGAGCCACGGGCGAGCGGCTCTGCTGGTAGCCCTTTGCGCAGCGGTTACAGGTTAGCCCCGTCACGCCATCCTTGCACGGGCACTGCCCGGTGGTCTGGTTGCAGGTTTTCCCAGCTGCACCAACTGGGTGGCAATCGCAGGCTAAGGGTGGAAGAGAGAGAGAGAGAAGTTAAAGGCCGCTGGAGTTGCACACACACAGAGACACACACATTTCACGAGACGACACGCTGAGAAAGAGACAGAGTTACGTGCATCCGAAACATAAATTTAAACCACATGTGAAACAGGGCAACAACCCCCACCCACCCCCAGACATTCCAAATCTGGCCTAGTTGCTGTGACCCTGCAGGGCAGAACCACACATGACCTTGGCGAATGTGTTTGCCATCGAATAGCTTAATTTATTTGTTTAAAAGATTTATAGCCCACGGGGCTCTTGAAATGGTGCTGGGGCATTTCTAGGGGAGAACAGGCAGGTGGGTGGAACCGCTGAACCCTTCCCCCATCAATGAATCTCCCCCACAGTCCCTACTTCTACCCCCCCCCCAACCCTGACAGGTTTATAGGGCTGGCTGGGAAGAAATGGGGGGAACTGGCTGGAGACAGGCGGTCCTGAGGGAGAGAAGCGCCCCCTTCTCCTCACCGAACCCCCTTGTTCTATCTGCTGAGTCTCCCCTGCAAATCCTCCTCCGTCATTAGCATTGCAAGACAAGCCACAGATCTGAAAAATTAGAATCGCTTAGACCTGGACAGCCCCGGCCGGCCCGATCTCATCAGATCTCAGAAGCTATGTCGGTTCAGTCCTGGATTAGGAGGGAGGCCACCTAGAAAGTCTAGGCTCGCTATAACGGCAAACCACCTCTCTTCGCCTCTTCCCTTGAAAACCCCATGAGGGGCTGCCGTAATGGCACTTTACATGCACACGCGTTTGCTTTATGATGTCTGGTTCTGCCCTTGCAAGGTAACTGATTTATTGTTGCATACATTTTTATTCCGACAAGCTCATTCCATCAGGACGCAGACTGAGCAGGTGCTGGTCCGTGCACAAGACTAATCCCCCATCGTCTCCAGACACCAGCTTATGCAGAGCAAATACAATTCCTGACTCAATCAACCGTGGACCTTTTCCACACAGATCGTTTCCCCTGTTGGAAAGCCATTCTCCCCCCTCCCCAATAGCATCATTATCCAAACCTGCTTCGCTGCAAAGTTTTGGGAAAGACCGCAGGCAGAGCCTGGATGGGTGAAAGTAGAGAACTTCCCGGTCCGGCACAGATGTGAGCCATTCTCCCTGCCCAGGGCCGGCTCTCCCGCTAGGCCAACTAGGCACTTGCCTAGAGCGGGAGGCCCTAGATGGGGCGGCGGGCCCTGGATGGGGCGCCTCCCCCCCGCCAAAAGCCAGCGCGATCCCCGAGGCTCCCCTCCGCGTCCTTCCCTCCTGCCCAGACCCTCTCCAGCGACCCATGGTCGGCGGGGAAAAGCACCGGCAGAGCGGGCGCATGAAGAGGGGAGCCCGCGCCGGGGCCACGCTTGCAGCCGCCTGCTGGGGGAGCCAAGGCTGCTGGAGCTGCTGCAGGCGCCGCCAGGCAGGAGATAAGTGTGCCCTGCTGCCGGCGCCTGAGCCAGCCAGCCCTCCGCCCTGGGACTGCACGGCCCTTTACTCCCTCGCCCACCTACCTCCTCCCGCCGCGGGCACTCGGGTGGCAGCAGCAGCAGCGGCAGCTAAGGAGTGCTGCCAAGAGGGAGTAAAAGGCCGCGTGGTCCCGGGGCGCGCCGAGGCGGAGGGCTGGCTGGCTCAGTCGCCGGCAGAAAGAAAGCGCCACGGCCTCAAGTTTGCGCACTGGGAGGGGGGGGAGGATTGTGTGAATCAGACAGACAGCCCTGCCCCTGCCCCTGTGGCAGCCAGCCCAGCCCACTCACCACCAGGTGAACTTTTTCAAGGATTTATTTTACTGTTAAATGACATATCGATATACTGCTAGACGGCCTATTGTTATTGTCAATTCTCGGAGTGGGGGGTTATTGTCCCCTGGTGGCAGGGGGGGCACTGTGGCAACTGGGGTTGGGGGTAAAGTAGGGAAATCCGCCATCTGAGCGCCCGATTGCCTCTACGTTGCATTGGCAGCTGCAGCTACACCTGGGCTTCCAAAGGGAGAGTGTCACCCTGAGGAACGGCCCCTGGATATTGACAGCCGTCCTGTGTACAGCTGGACCGTTTACGTTTCAGGGATTTCACCGAAAGTCTGCCCTTGATAGGGCAGATGCCCCACCCAGCTTTGCAGGGCTTCCTTCCAAAGGCTGGCCTGTAGCTACGTAAAGGATTTCCAGCCCTAGGCAACAACAAGCCCCCTGACTGTTGAGACTAGGGAAAAGGAAGGTTGCTATATGAGTCACAGGAACTGCAGCAGACGAGGACATGGATCTCTCGCTCTATTTGTTCTGTTTGTCCACATGAGTGCCTAACGGGGCAGACAAGATTGCTTCCATGTAGGAGGAGGAGGAGGAGGAGGAAGAGGAAGAGGAAGAGGAAGAAGAAGAAGAAGAAGAAGAAGAAGAAGAAGAAGACATTGGATTTATACCCCACCCTTCACTTGGAGTCTCAGAGCGGCTTACAAACTCCTTTCCCTCCCCCTCCCCACAACAGACACCCTGGGAGGTGGGTGGGGCTGAGAGAACTCTGGCAGAAACTGCTCTTTCTCAAGGACAGCTGTGCCAGAGCTTGTGACTGACCCATGGTCACGTCAGCAGGTGCAAGTGGAGGAGTGGGGAATCAAACCCGGTTCTCCCAGATTAGAGTCCGCACACTTAACCACTACACCAAACTGGCTCTCCAAGAAGAAAGAAACCACCATGTGAACCCTTCCAAGATAGCAGACACCCTAAGGCAGGGGTGTCAAACATGTGGCCCGGGGGCCAGATCAGGCCCCCAGAGGGCTTCTATCAGGCCCGCAGAGGAACTGGCTGTCTTCTGCTTCTTCTTCCAGTTCTGCTGCTGCTGCATTGTCGTAGGTTTGCAGCTTACAGATACACACTCCTGAACAGCATACTCAAGATTGCAACAGCACAGACATTTTGATGCAATAATCCAGAGCAAGAGGTGTCAGTGATCAGACATTGTTCAATAAAGAAAACATTGCAAGAGTGCTAATGTTTTAAGCGTGTTTTTATTTTAAGTAAAAAAAACACCTTTGTGTTTGTGTCCTTTATAAAGTTTATATCTCCACTGCCTGGCATTACATTTTATGACACACATGACCTGGCCCAACAAGGTCTCATTTATGTCAGATCCGGCCCTCATAACAAATGAGTTCGATGCACACTTCATCAGATGCACAGAAAAGCCAGAATTAAAATTTGTTGGTCTTAGAGGTGCCACTGGACTCAAACTTCTTTCTTTTGCTTCTGATCCAACACGGCTGCCCCCACCTGGATCTATTTTCATGGAATGGAACAACTCCTTATAGTTAGAGATCAGTACAGCTAGTCTCCTGGAATTTAAATCCAACCTGCTTTGATATATTTACCCTTTATCCAGGGGTCATTTCGTAGAAAAAGAGGTGTAGGAGCTCATTAGTATAACTCATTAGCATAACTTATTTGCATATGCCACACCCCCTGACATCACTGGAAGTGTGTCAGAAGACAACATCCACTGCTCAGGCTCCACTGGACTCTTTTGGATTGCTAGCTATTGGGGGGAGGGGGGAAACGTGGAGATCTGCCCTCGCAGAGGAGGGAGAGCTTGTACCTGAATAAAACTTGGTCTTAAAGGTGCCACTGGACTGTTTTGGGCCGGGGGGGGGGGGCTCTGCAACTTACCTGGCTGCTTCTTGCTCTGACTGAGGGTTGCTGGGAGCAGGGGGTGGAGCTTGTTGCCTGTGCCTGCCCCCTGGGCTCTTTACTGCCGGAGCTCCGCTCCTGTGCACTCCTGCAGGAAATGACCCCTGCCTTTATCTATGTCAACCGATTTATACTCCATTGTTCCAGCCTGTGTTTTCCAGAGTGGCTAACATACATGGACCTAGGACCTGTGAGATTTATGGTCCCAATGGGACTTCCTTCCCTTCCCTTTGGCACTGCAACCCCTTGAGCACCTTTCCCAATCCTGTTCTTGGGGGAGCACAGGAGCCCCAGAGCTGCAAAAGGGTGAACCAGGGCCTGGAATGGGAGGTGGGATTCAGCAAAAATCCCCCTCCATCGATGGACATGCCCTTCCATCATCAGAAATGGACCCATAACCAGTGTTCCCTCTAAGCTGAGTTAGTGTGAGCTAGCTCACAGTTTGTTAGCCTCCGGCTCACACATTTTTGCCTTCGCTCAGAAAGGACAGCTCCAGAGCAAACTAATTCATGCAGTAGCCAAATCGCCCGCTCACAACTTTATTGCCAGTAGCTCATGAAGTAGAATTTTCGCTCACAAGACTCCACAGCTTAGAGGGAACATTGAATAACCACAGAGGAGATGCAGGTAATTAAATATCTTCAGTCTGAGAATGTGACTCAACGCTGGTTTTTCTGGTACTCTCAAAAAGCTTCACAAACTACTTAACATCCTACAGGAAAGCTGCACAGATCTGCTATTCATTTCTCACAGTTATGAAACTCTCCACCTCGCCCTCTTTGAGAGTAGGGAAATAACGGATAATAAACAGCAAACACAGAAATGCATTAACAAACAAGGGTAGGGAAGGGAGGCCATCCAGTTGCTTGTCGCAAGCGGGCAGCCACCCCTGAGTCCGAATTGTCAGAATCACACAGAAGCCCGTTTGTGCAAAGGAAGAACTCGCGTGGGCTTCCAGTGGGCTGCCGCAGGGGCCGCTTTGATGGTACAGTGACGGATTTCATCTGCTCTGAGCCGCAAGCTTCAGGGTTTTGGGGGGGGGGGTTTGCACAACACATACATAAAAATGTTGTCAAACCACTGGTGGTTATCGCCTTGTGTTTCCATGCCAACAAATGACAGCTGTCATTTGCAGCAGTCATATCTACCATGGTGGCACAGGAGCATTGCCATTAGGGATACACCGAGATGTATTTTTGCCCCTATTCTTTGTCCCTGTTTGAGAAGCCCATTTTCATCCTATTTTCTTTGCCAATTTCTTTCTTTTCTTTTTTTTTGTTCTCTTGTGTGGCATTGACTGA